AGGGGACCAGCAGGCATTGGGGGAGTCCCTGTTCCCCCGAGCACTACCAGGAGTGACTAGAAATAACGGTCACAAGCTGGCAGAGGGTAAATTCAAGTTAGACATCAGGAGGCGCTACTTCACTTTCAGGGCGGCTAGGATCTGGAACCAACTTCCAAGCGAAGTGGTGCTGGCTCCTACCCTGGGGGTCTTTAAGACAAGGCTAGACAATCACCTTGCTGGGGCTGTTTGACCCCAGTACTCTTTCCTGCCACAGGAGGGGGTCGGACTTAATGATCTGCTCAGGTCCCTTCTGACCCTACTAACTACGAAACTGTGAAAAGATCCACAAATTTGGCATGGATGTGCAGTATGCAGCACTGCAGATCCATCTGTGGCACCACATGCCACACATGCAGGCTTTCCCCACACTGCTACTTTGCAGTGCAGGGGTTAACCCCAGGAGATCCCAGGGTCAAAAAAACCCACACCTAAAAAAAAGCGGGGTGGGACACATGGCACCAGCATGTGCTGTCCAAAACTGGAGCTTGGCTGGCCAGAGCCACACTCCTGCTGTCAGCTAGGACCCTGGCTGCAGAAGCGCCACAGATGTAGCTCCTAGAGGCCCCCAAGATCCCAGATAAAGCTGCTAGGGCCAGCACAGTTGCAGACCCCAACCTCCCTATCCCACCCAGGGCAATGTGCCACGCACCAGAGTGTGCATGGCATGGGTGTACCCGTGGCAAACAGCAGCAGCACAAGAGGTGTCACTGATACTTGTCCCCAGGGAAATGCATGTTCCAGCTCATGAGGATGTACCCAATGGGTCTCAATTGCTTAAAGATTTAAATTTGTGCCAAACAGAACTCAAAGGAGCTTTAAACAAGCACAGAGAGGATCTCACCAGGAGAGGCATACAGGTGTGTGAACACAGCTACTAAGACAAGGAGGCAGAGAGCACTGGATTCTGAAGATGTATGCTGAGTGGTACTGTAAAAGCACAAAAAATATCTTGGGTTTCTATCATGGGAACAGCATTATCCATTTTGAATCTTGCCTTTTGGGCTGTCAGCAGCAATGCAAGGTGAAATTCAAAAGAACTCACGAGCTATGAACCCCAATAATGATAAAAGTTAAACATTTAGCATGTTAGAAATGCAGACAAGGAATTAGTCTGGTAACAGAACAACTTACAAACCAAAGGACAAAAGCTTGAGAGGTAGCAATGGAGGAAGAATGGGGAACAAGAGCCAACAGCAAATGAGAAATACCTCTGATTTAATAAAGCAACAGAAGGTGGCCAAAGTCATTTTGGACTGGCCACTTTGTTGCCAATAAACTACTGGTGTGTTAGTCAGAATTACTTTGATTTTGAGTTTTGCTCCATTGACTGGAAGGCCAGTTCAAGGTGTCTGGTCACCGTTTTGGTGGGTGACTTACTTTGGGGTGACCCTTGATTGCTCCCTAACCTACCATCATCACTTCTGAAAGACTGCCATGAAAACAAAGGCACAAGTGAACATCATCCAAAAGCTCACCAGCACAAGGTGGGCTGCAAAAGCCACCATCCTCCACACTTCTGCCATAGCCCTGGTCTTCTCAACAGCCAAATACTGTGGCACCTGTCTGGGCCTCAAGTAGACATACCAAACTCATCGACACACAACTCTTCTCAGTAATAAGGACTCTCTCTCGGACTCTGGTATCAACTCCAGTGCAGTGGCTACCAGTACTTTCAAACATTACTGCTCTCTATATTCAATGGGATACAGCAACATGCAGAGAAATAATACGTATCGATAGTAATCCAGACCTTCCCATCCAGAGACCTTTGAGATCTCCCAACTTGTCACATGATTTCACAAAAAAACTTTTTGGACATGTACTGAGCATCATGTAAACCACAACACTGAAGAATCTTGGAGGAAAGCTTAGGCAGAATACACATTCCCAAAAAACCTGGTTTCCAGCCCAACAATATAACAGTCAGGCTTCAGCCTTCCCCAGAGTATGTGGACAACGTGTAATAGGATATGCCCTGCATGTGCTGGTGGGCCAACTGATGTACAAGTGGCGCCTAAAAACCTCGCCTGGCTGCGACTGTGGAAACCCTGACCAAAACCATTGAGCACATAATAACATCCTACCCCAGAGACAAGTTTGAGGGTGATACCCTGGAGTTACACTCTCTTTCCAGCAGGGCACTGGTCTGATTGGGGAATTTGAAATTAAAACTGTGATGATAGCTTTTGCTCCTAAAGCCACATGAAAGAAGTCAGAAATTACAACCAAATCAGCAATTAAGGGACTAGAATAGCATACCTCAGTCTCATTAGACTTGTGGCACCCCTCAGAATACACCAGCTCTTAAACATTCACTTATTCCTTGACTACAGAAAAATAACAGAGCAATTCTTCTGCTGCAAACAACTCAGAAAGACTAGTCAGTGAGCATACTTTTGACACACTAGATTCCTATTTGAAATCTCTGGGTTTCTCACGAATCACATTTATGTATTTGCACATGTAACCATGTAAATTTAAAGCAGCACCCTCATAAGACCCTTGTTGAGAGTCACTAGACTAGACCATCTAGTCAGAAATTCTAGTATCTCTAATTTAACTTAAGGCTGCTGCTCTTCATTCATTTTAGGAAGGCCAAAAAAGCAGCATAGTTTGAACCAAGGATGCTTGGAAATGTAGGGCAGTTTAGCCAATAGGCCCTTCTAGCAGAAGAGAGTCATTTATTGATATTAATGAATACTTGTAATACTAAAGAAGAAATCCTGACAAGTGCATTAGTTTTGATCCAGGTCTCCAAGGGATGAAATTCCACTTGCTTGGGACATGTGACCCTGCATTCATAAGGATATGACCCAGACAACATAATGGGTGCCTTCAAAACACTAACTTCTATGATTAGATAGAAAATATGATATGTATGATCAATAGTCTATTGATTCCATCTACTTCATACAAAACAGTAGTAAAACATTTTTAAAAGACCTGCTCTCCCACAAGTCATTCTGAACAGCTACATTTTGCAGTATTACTTTTTAGAAGTAATTACATTTTTAATATGTTTCCATCTGCTGCTATACCAGAAGGCAGACTTTCCTCACTGCAGCAACCACAAAAGCTAACTGATTACCTGACCACATTCACCACAGAAAGGATGGCAAAGAATCCTGTGACACCTGCAATTTTGATGATCTCTTCCTTTCATACACATCTTCCTCCACCTGTTGCTGTTCTAACCTTCTCTCATTAGCAATTAAATTTAAGAAGTGGCATTGAGATGTTCAGCTACACTTACAACAGCTATTCTTCTGCAGTCTGACATCTGAGATGCAGCTAGGTCTTCTTTCTTACTGCTTACACAAGTGTTTGTTCCCCCTGAATTATACAGGCCTCTATCAAAATGAATCTGTTCCGACTGCTGGCAGAAATCATCATCATTGTACTTTTCTGCATATTTAACATATATTTGTGCTCATCTTTTCAAAAGACTTTAGGATATGCTTTAAAAAAATTGCCATGGAATGTGTATACTTAAGTTTTAATGCTACAAATCAGGGACAATTTCCACCAAGGGAAACACTGAGGTTGAGCACATATGCAAGACTCATGGTAGAAAAAACAACAAAACTGGGGAAAAAAACTAATTTTACCTCTCAATGCCAATACTTAATTTTGCAATAGAGAACAAGCTTTAGGAATAGATCATCCCTTTTTGGCATAAAGGATATTTTAGGTCAACTATGGGTGCTTCTTATCAAAAAGGTAGAACAAGGCCTTGTCCACACTAGCAAAGGTTGCCAAGCAATATCAAATCAATGCCCATGGGGAAATGCAAGTTACGCTCCTTAAAATTCTCATGCTAGATCCCTGAATGAAATTGCCATGCTAGCTGAAGAACTATTTTGTCAGTTTAACTGCAGGTACCCCAGGGTTTTTACTGATATGCCTATGTTGGTTCAGAGTGGGAGTTTCACAGACACTAGTGTGCCTTAAGACTTACTATGGAAAACACAGGACTCATTGAATGGTGTTCCCCAGACAATTCTGTTGTGCTTGTCCCATGACTAAAATTGTGCCTCCCTTTTTTTTTTTGTATGCATCTACAAATCCAGTTTTGTATGGTGTATTAAGATCTTAAATAGAATTATTTCCTCATACATTTATCAGAAAAGGGTATTTTAATCAATGAGGTTATCCAAACAGTCATTAAGTTTAATGGAAAAACCCTGAGGTTACTGGACTATCACTGAAAAGTGTCCTGAACTTTCTTGTAAAGTCAGAAACATATACTTGTAAACACAGCGTCCTGTTACTGTAATCATCAGCACAACGCAGACATCAAGATAAGACGATTGTTGTTGGGATCCGGCCCCACAATAATGCAAAGAATGACATTTGACTTAAAGTTTCCTCCCTACCTTTGGCTGCTTCTCTACAGTTGCCTTCCAGAACTAATTCTATCCCAGTTCCCCATCTCAATCTGGCCCAAAGAAACATCCCTAATCGCTTATAGCAATATGGATCCATCTGTTCCCAGGACTTAACAGTAATTTCTTAACATTTTAAAAAAAGCAGGATTTTAGACATCTCTGGTATAGATCGACTGCAAAAGTTGTGACCTTTGTTAGCCTGTTAGAAGTCAATATACTAGGTAGATTGCTTAAAAAAAAATGTAGGTCAGTTAAGTACTATGAATGCAACCGATACCTATATACTTAGGCCCTTAGCAATACAAATCAAATTTGCCTAATATCAAAAGGTCAAAGAGTTCAGATTGTAAGTTTAACATTTTAATGCCCAAAGGAGGATTGATATCACTCTGCTAAAATACTATTCTGGTTAAACAATCTACAAAGTTGTTTTTGGTAGGCTTTTATTTAATCACCCAACATACAAAGTTCTCAAACATGACTTGTGCCATAAACAATAAGAGATTACTGTTTTACAGTAATATTTACCTTATAAATAACCCACTTCCTGCATGAGCAGAGCTCACTTACCTGCACTGCCAAGTTGTTTATAAAACCTGTACTCTAAATGGAGCTGTGGGGCACGGGATTTTATGGGTTCCTGCAAAGAGTGAAGAAATAAGAGTCACTCTTCAATAATGCACAATTTTCCACATAATTGGTTTAGCTTGAAACTTTCCACCATTTGTGTTAACACCCAAATAAATACTGCAGTTAAGCTATGTACAGAGTAAGAAAATTCCAGCAAAGGAACAGGCCATTAGTTGTCACCTAACTGAACAGAGAAGAGAAAAATAGAAACTGCTGTAAGAGCATTGATTGATGCTCTGAAACAGCTATTCTAAACAGTTTATTTTAAAAAAAATCTGCAATGAGAAAAAGCTCTCATTAAAAATAATTCTTGTTAATGCATATTTAGAATAGAAACTTTGCTGAACAGTACTTATTCCCTGAAGAACTACCATGACCTCATAAGTACATTCCTGGAAGAAGAGAAATCTAAAAGGAACTAAGTTACAGGTTCACAAGCAGTAGCCACTGGATCGTTGATAGGCCAAAGCATCTTTGATGGTCACAGCTTTAAGTTTTTGGAGCATTTTCAGTCACTTTGTTGCTTTCAATCAGTATCCTTAATTGTATAAAGCTACTGCCTTGCTCTGAACAAGGATACACAACAACTTTGAAGCATGCCAGCCTCAGACTAGAATCTTCTGTTATAAGTCTAAATGAATAAATAAAAATATCCATCCATCTTTATCTTGTTGGTTTGGGGTGGGGGGTACTTCACCTGTATATGATGCAACTTCCCAGCCATTTCAACCATCTTTAAGGTGTAGCTTTTTGTCTATGCACACTGTCTGT